AGTTTTGCAAGATGAAAAAGTAACAGTGGATGGTGGCCTGAATGTACTTAATGCCACTGAAATGTACACTTAAAAATGGTTACAATGGTAAATTTTATGTTACGTATATTTTACCACAATTTGAAAAAAAAGAGGCTAAGATCTCAACATTTGACTAGCTAGGACTTGAACCCCGTTCGTAACGCGTAGTAGGCCCTCACAATATTTTTTGTTGATTAGTTCTATTATAACAACTCTAGGTATTTCCCGTCATCACTGTCCCCATTTTATAGGGTCAAACTGAGGCTCTAGGAGGTTAATTGGCTGAAGTGATACAAGTGGTAAGTGGCAGAGCCTGAGCTAAATCCAGGCACTGGAGCTCCAGAAAGGCCTCCTTAACCACCCCCCTCAGCCATTCCTCGGCAGCACCATTAACAGAATCAGGGACCACAGCCCGAGGAGGAGCGAGTGTAAGGGGAAGACATAGCGCTCGTGAGGAAGTGATGGGCCAACAAAACGTCCACCAGTAGCTTGAACTGAGTCCTGGAATCCAGGAGTGAGGTGCAGACTTGAAATTCAGATGGCTGAGGAGCCCTCATAACCCAGCACCCACCAAACTTTTTCGGACCCACTACTGTCCACCTGTCACCCTAAACAAATGGACGAGGGCTGCAGGTTGGTGACCCTGGAAGGGAAGCTCTCTACAGGCTCAGTTGAGCTCCCTTGTCTCCCTCATAATGGGGTGGTCTGTAAGAGCCAGTGCCTGTAGATTTAGTAACAAACACATCCTTGACGATATTTAGTGACTGCCCGGAACAGTTGTTATCATGATGATTGTAATACTGTGCCCCACGTCCCCGTTTACAAACTCTCCAGGACAGCTGAGGCTGTGGTGGGGTGGCAGATACTACAATAGAATGCCATCAGGAAGCTGAATGGCCTTTCTAGTCCCACTTTTGCCCATTCCATACGGATTGATTGCCTAAGGTTCGGGATAGAGACCTACCTGCTCCCCTCAGGGACACAGTCTGGGCAGATCCTCCCTCCCAGATTGGATACCCCCTCTTACAAGGAACTCACTACTTTACAAAGCAGCAGCTCATCCCACCAAGGAATAGGGTTATTCTGCCATCCAGGCAGCCAACCACACTCTTACAGACAGTGGCTGTCGTGCAAAGCCTCAGCAAGTCAACGCCTGCCTCTGCCAACCTGAGAACAATATGATCTAAATTTAATTGCCTCCTGAGGCAACTGTTTGCAATAGAATGTAATTTACAATGGCCAATAAATCTTGCAGAGGAACAACATCTCCATTTGCCTCCCTAAAAGTATAAACACTTCCATTGCTCCAGCCTCTATGTCACACACCTCCAGCTCCCGCGTACAGCCCCTCTCCCGCTGCACCCTCTGCCCAGAGGATCCCAGCCCAGGACAGCCTGAGAGGAGTCACCTAGCCCGTCAATGTCTTGGTGTCACTCCGTGTGTCAGTAAAAACAAACAAGCAAACAAATAAACCCCGCTAATAAGTGCATTCTTCCTGTAAAACATTACAAACAAATCACTCCTCTCTGACACCACTCTAAAATAATTTCTCTCCTTGCCCCAGAGATAAGGACTATTATCCAGATTGGGTAAAATCTTCCAGAACCTTCCCTATGTATTTTCATAAATATATGCATCCATGGTGTAGAAAAATATTTAGCTTTGTTTTATGTGTGTTTTTAAACAAATGATACAATTCTAATTGTTCCAGTCTTGCCTTTTTTCCAACAACAGATTTTGGAGATCTCTCCATGTCAGAACACAGATCTACCTGTCTCAAAACTCCTGCGCTGCATGCCTTGGTGTGGATCTACCACGGTGCCTTTATTTAACTCCCTCTTTGATGGCATTTAATCTTTTTTTTCAATTACATGAACGCTCTGAGAACATTCAGGACCACCTTAGGACACTTTCAGGGCCCAGAGCTCACAAAGTGTTCCCAGAGACTGAGCTAAAGCTAAAAGCTGCCTTCTCCTAACTCCTAACTCACAGCACCCCTTGCTGGCCCAGTTCTAGGAAGAAAACCTGGCCCTGGAGGTGCTTCTCATCCTGGAGCTCTCGGAGCTGGAGGGCCCATTCAAGATCTGTCCACCTGGCCTCATTTTAGCGAGGAGGCCACTAGGCCCAGAGATGTTAAGTGTGTTGCACAAGGTCACACAGCATGTCAATGTTGCTTCTTCTGGGACCCAGATGAACCCATCCAGCTCACTCAGGAAACAACGCACAGCCAGTTTTTGCCCTGGGAAGCTCTGTTCCCAGGCTCAGCAGTTGCAAAAGGCCCCCAGGGCTTTGTTTTCAAAGGAGAAATGAAGCGGGAAGTATTTTTAACTGCTGGCCCTGGCCCCGCCTTGCTCCTGCCTCGCTCCCTCGTGCTAGCTGTCCAGGAAAGGCCGGCTTCACAGTGGCATTGCAACTCATGGAAAACAACAAACGCCCGAAATAGATGATACCCAAGCTCAGGAATGGAAAAAATTGGCTCATGCCTTCAAATGCCTCTTTTAGAAAAAGCCAAGAATAGCTTTCAGCCTTTGGGGACCTGCTGGGGGTGAAGGAGTGAGGAGGTGTGGTGCTGGCACAGGGATCCAGCCAAGACTGAGATCGCCAAGGGCCCAACTTCCAGCCGGAAGAGAGTTGGCCACTTTCCCCCAGGGCACGTGAAAACTAGCTTCCCCAGCTCTGCCTACATAGGGAGCCATGTCTACAGTCAGCTGCTCGTTTCCTCTGACCCCCCACCATACCCCCACCTCTTAACCCTGCCCTTCAGCTGAATGGGGAGAAACTTCCTGTGTTGGGCCAGGCCTGGGCTGGGAGCTCCTCCACCCCACAAGGGCCTAACAGGGTGGAAACCTGAGATTCTGCCCTTCCTGGGCCTGCAGGGTGAAAGCTGATTCCCCTGTGTTGGGAAGGAGGGGGACAACAAAGAGAAAAAATGGGGGTTTGCATCCCTACACAGACAGCCCAGCTATGTGGCCTTGGGCAAGTCACTTGACCTGTTGGAGCCTCAGCTCCCTCCTCTGGAAAGCAGGGGTAATCTTTGATTTACTCATTCATCCAACACTTGTCTGACTGTGTACCAGCACTGGGCTAGACACTGAGGACATAAGCACAACCAGAACAAAGTCCTGATCTTTTGGATCGGAAGATGTAGCCTTGTCAATCTCATAGGCTGCAGGGAATTAGCCGTCCCTTCTTCACGGCTTCTGAGCACTAGGAGAGTGCAATGCTTTGGACCAGTGTTTATGAGACTTTACGCCAAACGTCTTACCTCGATGATTTCATTTGCCCTGTGATGTGGACACTATATTTATCCCCATATTACAGCCGAGGGCGTCGAGGAGCAGAGAGTTGGTGCTGGACAAGTTCGGAGGCTCATCCGCAAACAGTAAGGGGTAAGGAAAAGCTGACTGCGTGGGAGGACCCTATTAAGCCCCAGGGACGGGAATAACTAAAGCCTGGTTCTCTGCGTCACTCTGTAATACAAAGTGGTAAGTAGACTGGAGGTCAGTACATAGGCACAGGACAAAGACTTCTTAAAACGTGGGGTGTGTGCGGCCTCTTTACTTAAAGCAAGATCCCACTTGTCCCTTCAACCCTGTGGTGTATACTGTCTCCCATTTGACAGAGGAGTAAACCAAGGCATGTACAGGTTAAGTGACTTTCCCAATCACCGCACAGCAGGGGTTTCTGCTGTAGCGTCCCTTATCACAGGCAGGTTCCCAAGCTGGACCCCGCCGCTCGCCCGCACCCGGCGGAGATGCGGGAAGCCAGGGGTGCGGCGCGGCAGGCCGGCTAGGATAGAACTACGTCTCCCAGGATGCCGTGCGAGGGGCATGTAGGGGCGGGGCCGCCGCGGGCACAAGGCTGTAATTTCTTGGTATTAAAAAAAAAAAAAGGTAGCAAAAGAAAAGAGAGAAAGAATCAAAGCCTCAAGCGTCATGTCTAGGAATAGCCTCGGAGCCAGGCCAAGTCATTATAGACGATGAGTAATCCGGTTAAGTCATTTCTCTAAACACCATTCCTTGTAAGAGAATTAAAATATCAGTTTACATCAGAGGGGGAGAGGCAGGCTCTAGGGGCCCAGCCGGGAGCGCAGCCAGGAGGGGGCGCGGCTAGCGCTCCTCCGCCGCTCGGCCCTGCCCCGGGGCGGGGGCTGGATGCCAGGGCCCTGACAGCTGGACCCTGGGCTCGGGCGGGCAGCCAGCTAGTGGGGGTGGGGGCTCGGCCGGCCGCATCCCAGGCCTCAGTTGACCAGTTGGTAAGTGCTTCGGGGAAAGTTTGGGGCTGCCCTCTGTCGGAAGAATCGGTGTTCCTCGTGGGGGCAGCCGGGCAAGGTGAATGGTGGGGGGGACTAGGCCAGAGGGGGCTAGGGTACTCTTTTCTTCAGTGTCCACTTCCTCCCGGATTTTAGAGTTCATATCTCGGCAGCTGCAGGTCTACCGTCGGAGTCAAGGGTTGGGGACTGGCCTGCGGACATGGAGAGAGGAAAAGGCGGGGGGGGGGGTCTCCGATCTCATGGGAGGTGCCGAGTTCCCTGAAACTTGCAGGAAAGTCTTTGGGGCGGGGGTGACCACCAGCGCAGGTTCTGGCGTCCTGAGGGCAGGATTATGATGAACTGGGAGAGCGAGCCCATCAAGAAGCTGCCTTTTCACCTCTGGAGCCTGTTGTCTGAGCCCCCTCCAGGGCCAATCACAGGAGTTGAGTCCCAGCTGTGAGCCAGACACAGGTATCCTCCCACTCTGGATCCTTACCAGGTAAGGCCTCTGGGGCCCAGAGACTTCCCCCTGGCTTCCGGCCCTGGTCCCCCAAGGCAGCATAAAGTAATTGAAGCTTAGAGCCACTGAAGTTTGAGGCAGGCCAGGCCCAGCTCTAAGGTCCTAACGCACATTCACTCTTGCAATTGAGTTAGGCACTTTTTAAATTAATTAGTTAATTTATTTACTAAACAAAAAGACAAGGGGAAGCACAGACAGGTTCCCAAGTTCCCAGGAGGCTGCACTCACAGCCCGGCTACTGGAACAGGAAACACCCAGGCTCTTGAAGCCAGGCTGACTGCTTTCCAATCCTGGTGAGCCTCGCTTGCAGGTGAGCTCGCAGGAGTTAGTCACCGTCTCTAATCTTCAATTTCCCCACGTGTAACACGGGATTTAGCAATACCTACCTTGCAAAGTTAATGTGAGGTTAGAAATAACATAGACCTTCAACAAATGATCATTCTGTTGTGTTGGTGGTATTACTTGCAGACAGCCTCTGACCGGGCAAATGCGGTGTGCTTCTGAGTCTGTGGAAGAAAGTAAAGACGTAAATGTTTAAATAACCACACCCTCCCCACCACCATCCCAACTATCTCTTAGCACAACAGGCATCTTCACCGCAGGCCCCTCTGCACAGCCCTGCCGTGTGTGTCCCCCAGGGGAGACCCAGGCTGAATTGCCCCCCAGGCTCTGGTCTTGGTGATCTGGGCTGGGCCCTGAGACTCCCCACCTGATCAGGTTTTCTAAGTTTTCAGGCAGTAGCTTCAAAGTCTTGAAGTCTCTGGTGGGGTCTTAGGGGGGTTAGGCGCCAGGATGCCAGGATGCCAGGAGGAATTATGGGCAAGGTAAGTGATTCATCTCCAACCTGAGCAGGCTCCATCAACCCCTTCAATTTTTTAAGCGTGGGCTTTGGGGTGGGGGAGGCTGCCTTAATTCCTGCTACCCCAAATGAATGCATGGGACCTTGCTAACATCAAAACTAAAGCTTCCAGGCTTGGAGTTGTCTGGCTCCAAGAACTCAAAATCCCTTAAAAGCTTCCTGCTCTCCCTGCACCTCTCCCCACACCCCATCCCATACCTGAAGGCCAGGTCTCTGCGGTCATCCTCTTGGTATTACCCACCCCACGACTGCCCACAGGCACGGCCTGCCCTCCCTTCTTGACATCCCAACAACGTTTGAACCAGTGCCTGGCAGGGAGAACCCGAGAAGCATCCAGGTCCAAATGGTCCTGCTTGCACCTCAGCCCTCCTTTCTTCCAAATCTGCCAACCCAAAGCTCAAACTCTCCCCACATGCACTTCCCCATCCTTTCTGCTTCTGCGTGCCCAGGAGCATGTGTGCGAACCTGTGTATACACCCCTGTGCATTTGCACACGCATCCTGCATGCAGAGAGCCCAGAGCTCACAGGGGAACACATACGCATGTGTACACACTCAGCTACAGCTCACTAGAAAGATCGCAGCCCCCGGGGCTTCCTTCTCCACATGTGAGGCACCACGCTGGCCTACCTTGGACACCCGAAAGGGGACAGATGGTTGTCCAGCCCTCCTGCCTCTCCCTAGCCGCCCGTCTGTGTCTCGGTTTCTTCAGCCATGGGGCTGGCCTGTGGGATTTTGCCGTTGCAACCAACTTCCCTCCCTGCCTCGGCCTCAGCAGGCTCTTCCAGATCTGACTATTGGTCCTAGCCACAGCTGAAGACAGAAAGACTGCACGTAGGTGGCTTCTCCGGGTGTTGGGCCTGGGGTAAAGCCAACTCTTGGGCATGGTGGCGGCTTAGTGTCCACCCCTCCCCGACAGGCCTCGCAATATGGCCACACTGCGAGGATTGTCTTCCCGGTGCTCTATGCTCTGTTCCTAACACCGAGTGTTTGTGTGTGCTGCTCCCTCTGTGCCCGAGTGCCTTCCCTGGCTCAGCAGCTCCCGCCATGTCTACCCAGTGAACCTGTGCTTCCAGGCTCCACCTGAAGCCGTCATCCACATCCCCTCTGGGTCCCAGTGCTCCCAACATATACCTCTGCTGTGACATTTACTATCCCGGTGCTCTTGTGGTCAGCCCCATGTCATTATGTGACTGTCCAGCATCCACAGAGCCTCCGTCCTGCAGTTAGGAACGGTCCTTCGCATGGGCCCGCACCATGCTGCTGGCGAAGCTGCAGCGTCTGGGCCACCGCTCTTCCGGAGACACTGGTGTTCAGAGATGGAAGGGACTTGTCTGAGGTCCCACAAGGGTTCACGAGATCTTGGTGAAAAAAGGAATGGGGAAGGAAGAGGAGCAAGTGAGAGGCCACAGAGGGCGGGCACATAGCAGGAGTGCAATGAAGATCCATAGAAGGGGGATGAAGGAAGGGAAGGGAGGGAGAGAAAGGGCAGGATATCCATTTCCACCTCCTCCCACTGCCTTCCCCCGCCACAGCATCACATACTATCTAGGCCTTCCCCAGGGCAGCACTTCCTAATTTTTTTTTTAAGATTTTTTTTTTTCTTTTTAAGTAATCTCTACACTGAACATGGGGCTCGAACTCACAACCCCGAGATCAAGAGTCACATGCTCTACCGACTGAGCCAGCCAGGCACCTCAGCACTTCCTAGTTTTTGAGGGCAGGATATTCTCTATTTTAGCCTTGAGGTCATACACGTTCCCTTCTTCTTGGAGTTCCAGGGCTGGGTAACTGTGCGGGTCTGGTAATCACTCCATCCCTCTGGTCCCAGGGTGGCAGCTTGGATCAAAGCCCCTACTCTGGGTCTCCCTACCCAGTGGACCCTCGGTGGTGGTGGTGAGCAGTATCTGGGGCCCTGCATGCCACTCAAGGCCGCACATCCTCAATTCCTTCGGGATCTCAGTGTCCCCAAGCTCCTGACCCACTGGTCTCTGCAACAGGGAGGTTCCGGCACCCGGTAGCCTCACTCTGGTGAGTCTGAGGCCTGCTGTGGCTGAGCAGGATCTGCCTCAGCGGAGTGGGGAAGTGATGAGCATCTTTCTCCCTAAGACATGTGCCTCAAGTCAGTGAAGTTCTTCATGCTCAGTTTCCACATCTGTAAAATGGGAATAGCATACTAATAGCTCTCACACCTCCTAGTGCAATTATGTGCATCAGATGAGCTATTTCTTTTTTTTTTTTTTAAGATTTTATTTATTTATTTGAGAGAGAGAGAGAATGAGAGAGAGCACGAGAGGGGAGAGGTCAGAGGGAGAAGCATACTCCCCGCTAAGCAGGGAGCCTGATGTGGGACTCGATCCTGGGACTCCAGGATCACGACCTGAGCCGAAGGCAGTCGCTTAACCAACTGAGCCACCCACGTGCCCCCAGATGAGCTATTTCTTAAAAAGCGCTTAGAACTGTGCGTGGCAGGAGGAAGCTCTCCATATATGCCAGCTCTCCTCTGCAGCCCAGAGCAAAGCAGAAGACCCGGCGTGAGCAAGGGCTCCGGGAAGGGAGACAGGAAACCTGGATCCCAGGTCCAGCTGTAAGGAGCGTATAGGCCATTCGGTCCTGGAAGACCCCTGCCCACCCCCCCTTCCCTCCTGCTCCTGTGTGTCATATTTTGTTGGCTTTGGGGGCTTTTTAAAAAAATAAACAAGGGCTGCATGAAACCCCTAATATTCTGGTTAGGTTTTGAAACAGCTCAGAAATCCCCTCCTCCCTTTGTGAGTCAGTGGCAGGACGATAAGCAGAACTGCTAGCGGGCAGCCAGGAGAGAGAAATTCTGCAAAATAACAGCTGGGCGGCTCTGTGGCCCCAGGGATTTGACATGGGGCCTCGAACAGACTTGACACGGGGTGCTGCTGGAGGGGCCCGAGGCCCGAGGGCCCTGGGGATGGGGGCGGGGGTGGAGGCTAAACCCTGAAAAAGATCACGGTGCCCACCCCCTGGCGTATTTTGAAATAAAAACTGTGAATGGTTAAATGAATGTAAAGAAATCCCACAAGACTGACTTTTCCCGTAAGGCGATTTCGATGCTCGTTTGGAAATATCAAATTCTTTCCAAGCAATTTCTTTTTCTATTTTGGTGCCTTAAGCACGTGCTCGGCGAACCAGGCTCGCGCCGGGTCGTCCAGACCCCGGCGGGCGCCCAGCGGAGGAAGGGCCGCCGTAGGGGGCGCGGCCGGCGGGGCGGGGCGCGGGGGATGGGGCGCCGCCGAGGGGACCCCAGGCCCACGACTGCGGCTGAAGCCTCCCTCGGGGCGGCCGCGGTGCACCCCCACCGCTTCGCCCTGGGATCACAAGACTGGGCGGGGGTTTCGGAAAGCGCTTTCCTTGCCCAGCCGGATCTGACTCAAAAGGGGGAGCTGGTTCAAACCGAAAGAATAATTCGGTTAGCCAAGGCCGCCAATATTTATTCGGGACCTAAATTACTGCCAGGCAGGGAGTTCCTGGGCCCAAGCGTCGCTGGCCCCTCGGGCCTCGCCGAAAGCCCCTTGTTCCCACATAGTTCTTTTTTTCCCCAGAAAAGGGGCCAGGAAGAGCTCGGGGAGAAAGGGCTGACTGAGGGGAGCGTCCTTCCCCCTGCCCCACAGGCTCTGCTGGGCGTCCAGGGCCAGTCAGGGATCCTCCTGGAGGCCCAGATGCTTGGGGCGTTCTGGCAGAAGTGAAGGAGAACTCGGTCTACCTGCCCCAGTAGGCCCTGCCCTGGGCCCACCCTTCTCAGGTCATTCAACAAGTCCCTCATGCCTCCATGTGTTCGCACCCTCCCTTCCCTCTGCAGTTCCCTCTCCACCAGCTTGCAAAGTTCTGTAGACCCTCCTGGGGATAGAGGTGTGAAGCTCTTCAGAATTTTTCCTGGAAGTTTCATATTGACATACTCCTCGGGGCCTCTACCCCCTTTTCCAACAGGTCTGGCTTCCCAAGGTAGAGACCAGTTTCAACCCAACTTGAAGAGAACCACTCAGGTAGCTTCAGCCTCCCTGACACTGGCCCCCTACCCTCAATGTCACTTCCAGGCCCTTTAGCTCAGCGGAGCTTGCCCTCTGACCAGCATCCTAGTGCACACAGTGAGGCCCAAATTAACAAGGTTTCTTTGAACTATCATTAACCAGGAGAGAAACATTGATCTATATGTAGTAGTTAATCATTTTTTTCAGGCTGGACTGCCAGGGTGCAGTGGAACAGGCGGGGCCTAGGGGGCTCTCCTCATCCAGCTCGTGGATTCTGACATCTCCAGACCCCCGCTCAACTACCCAGCCTCTGCAGGCACAGGAACTCTGGCTCAGGGACCCTTCTGGACTCAGGTTCATTCCGACCTTAGGACAGGTGTGGAAAGGAGATGCTGATGGTTCATCTTCCTGGGCGCCCAGAACACCTGGCCTGAGCCTGTTGCACTGCCCCCCCCCCCCCCTCAGCCCAGCTCACCGCCTCAGCACAAAATTCGCCCTGTAAGCAGGACCATCGTGAGCTCCCAGGCAGGGCCAGGAACACAGCTGCTCTCATGAAGACGGTCCTGTAGACACAAGACGGCTGTGGCATAGAGGGCCTGGCTGATGCACACCACACACAAGGACAAGCACAGGACATGGCCAAGGTCAGGGACACGCGGGGTCGGCTGAGCATGTGAGGAGGACACAGATGCATAGACACACACCCCTTGCAGGGCCGTGCTAGTGGGTGGGGCCGGCAGGGCTGGGGCAGCAGCCCTCTGTGGTTGCTAAATTGCAGGGAGGTCTGGAGAGAGGGGGAAGGCACCAAGGTGGCCCTGTAGTGGGGGCCACTCTGGGGGCTTGGAGCAGCAGCTAATATTGACATTGAAGTATGTCCGTATTATAAATGGTTTAGAGCAGGGGGGTGACTATTAACCCTGAGGGCTGAAGGGAGACCCTGGCTCCTGGGAGAACGGTGGGAGCATCTTCATTTTAAGGAGCTGAATGAGAACTTAAGGGTAGGAAGGGGAGCAGAGACGGTTCTGCCCTATTGTGGTACATTCTTGGAAGCCTCTCCGGCGTGGTTCCATTTTTATAGGGTTTCACATTGTTAAAGGGTTGTTTAAAAAAAAAAAAGAATATACGGGGTGCCTGGCTGGCTCAGTTGGAGGAGTGTGAGACTCTTGATCTTGGGGTCATGAGTTCGAGTCCCACATTGCGTGGAGAGATTACTTAAATTTTTTTAAAAACTAAAAAAAATATATATATATATGTGTGACAGACCTTAAACCTATAATATTCACTATCTGGCCCTTTCCATAAAAAGTTTGCAGACTCCTGATTTTATGGCTGGGAAAACAAAGCTCCAGAGAAGGAAAGCTACCGCCCAACGCCACACAGCAGCAGATGGGTGACTGAGCACTCTCCTGTGCGCGCAGGCTCCTGCTTTGTCCAGCATCGCAGCGAGTCCCGGCAGGTGGCCTGTCAACCCAGGGTCGGCTGCTTGTGAG